TCCTCCTCATCCTCCTCATCCTCATCCTCCTCATCCTCCTAACGGATGTCGCCTACCTGGCTTCGTATCACACCCGGGCAGACGACCAAGCTGATACGAGAGCTAGGCGTGACATGCGGTCTCTGGATCATCAGTTCTCGCCGGCGAAAAGACGAAGGGGCAGTATACTGCCAGCTACGGTTGGATGACTCTTCGGGAAGTTGCTAATGAAATCGCGGCCGACATCGACGATGGCAGTCAGAGCGACAAGCGCAGTCATGCGTTCAACCACGGACTGAAGTACCTGGTCTGTGCGATAGAATAGTCAGTCTCTGGACATTCATCAAGCCCTGGTGCTTGAAACAGCAAATCTCTGGGAAGCTTGTTCGGACTGACCTATGGCGTCCTCTACAGCATCACTTGTTGTGAGACATAACACCACCAATAAGGTCGTTTGAAAAGTTGACACATGGAACCTATTATGAGCAGGATGTTCATCGTTTGCTCGACAGTCGGGCAGAGTTTCTACCAATCCTAAGTCCATATGTATGCAGAAAAGCATTACCGACGAAGACAAGGGAGACTGAAATGGCAATTTCTGGCTTATTAGCCGTCGTCAGCCAGTCATACCCAGCCCCGAAGTGTGGAAAACCTGGGGCTCGATCCCGTGACCTGAGCCACGGGGTCGTTGTCTGTGACCTTTGCCACAGGAGTCAAAAGATCGGTGTGCATCCATTCCCGACTGATTAAATACCCGAAAAGCGATGACAGGGAAAAACAGGTGCCAAGGCACTGATGAACTTCGACTCGACTAAGTGCTTATGGCCCAGTGGGGGACTAACTGCGCCAGGTGTGGCTGTGCGCATGTTTGTGTTTCTGGTTCCAACTGCTGGTCAGGGTTATAATTGGCTGAATGAAGGCAAAATAAGCCCGAAACAGTACTGTATCATTCTATCCGCATTCTCTGTCATCCCTCTCTGCTGCTACTATGACTTGGCCGACTTCGGTCCGGTAGGTGGTTGCCTGTTCAAACCTTTGCTACCCATACGGAGCTTGTTTGCTTCGGGAAACCAGTAGATCGCAATGTGCACATTCCCGACTGCAACCGACAGGACAACGAGCCCGTGGCTCAGTGGTTAGAGCACTGGATCCCCAATCAACAAGTCGTGGAATCGAGCCCCAGGTGTTCCACACTTCTGGACTGAGTATGGCCGGCTGATGACCGCTAATAAGCCAGTAATGGTCATTCCAGTCTCCCTTGTCTTTGTCAGTATCACCTTATCACATATATGGAAGGAGAAGGTAGAAAGATCTCTGGGCAGGATGCTTTATTCATCTGACGTTTCACACTCATACTTGAGTGCATCATCGGAGATAGATGAAAAGTAGAAATACATGGCTTAAATAGGTCTTTCTTACGCTCTACTGATAAGTCCATCGGTCTCTCTTCTCATTGGCCTTCCTTTCCTGTCTAAGTGATGTCTGACGGCTGGCGTTGGATTGCCAGGCTTCGATTATCTCGCTCGCCATTTTGCTTTCAGTTCGGTCGATTACTTCCGTCCTGTGGAAGCCGAATTGAGGGTTATTTTAGAGGCTATGCATAGCGACATGCGATTGTACATCTTTTCGCTTTACAGCTAGAGAATGCTGGACATCGTCGGAATCGACGGTCAAACTATCGCATGGTCACTCGGGATAGATGGCCGCGTTTCTTCATCGCCAATTGATGTTCATTTATACGTGTTGAGACAGATTTCCCAGTTTGACTACAATAGACTGCTTACTTCATGACCTAATCGGGGGCTGACCGTCCTTCTGCTGAACAGTCCTTCCAGGAATCGCTCTGCTATCTTCAGTTTCTTATGCCTGAGAAGAGTGGTAATATTTTTAAGAAGCATTATGCGAGAAAATGTGTACAAAGAGCCCTTTCTGGAGAAAACTGCCGTAGGTGGCCTCAGCACGTGTTCGGTAAAGTGGACTAAATTCATTCTCATTCGGATAATTAGTGCAGAATATTAAAAACTTTAGTTAACAATTTAAGACCTTAAGTCAGTTGGTTACAGCCTATTTAAATGACGAATGATAAGCATAAATCAATTTCTCTTTCTAGGACGCAGTTATGCTTTCCAAAGTTATTCCAGATATACTGAACGACTTCCTGGATCCAGCTCCGAGCTGCTAGCTTCCAGACTTCTTATGCAACACCGGACTGCAATTTCCTTTCCAATTTTTTTTCGGGCAACCGCACTGTCGGCGGATAGGCAGGCCATAAAAAGAAAATCACACTAGGATCGGTAGAAATATTCGGAACAGAAAAGAAAACTCAAACCATCAAAGTCAGACAGCCCTGTAGACTGCTACGTATTGTAAACGGTGATAAGGCCTTCCATGTCCAGGTTTCGGCATGTGCGCAAGTGCATCACGTGTATCAGACCATCCAGAAAATTGCAGAGCCAACCAAAAATTTGGGCGAGGTCCTCTTGTTCTCCATTTGCTTCATCTGCGCCCAACTGCCTACGGTTTTATAGTCCACCGTTTTTAGGAAGGCTGAAAATAGCATATGAAAGTAAGGTGTTGTGGCAAACATTTGTGAAACCTGGCCTACGATACGTGACCTATCTTATGAAACCAGATGGCAGAAAGTGATATGAGAGTTTTCAGACGTCCGAGACGCCGCGCATTTTGCTCGCTCGTCCAACCTCTTCAAGCGAATGTTCTTTTCTGGTGCAGAAAATGTGTCCACGCAAATTTATCAAGCAAAATGTTCGTAAATTTGGGCGAAAATGGACGTTGCAATATATTCGGGTTATTTCCTATGCTGATACCTGTCTTAGACTTCGGTTGAGCATATGAGCGCGTTTTTCTTCGAGAGGGGAGCAGTTTGCTCTCTAGAGGTTTACCAAACAGAACTTGTCGAACCTGAAAATTAATTTTCGTCCGATGCTACCCCTGGGAGGCATTTTGATAACACACAGGTTATTTTTAGAGAATCTGACGCTTTATTGACTTTTAAAAGCCAGCTTAGCAAATTTGAACGATATGGAGCCCTTAAGTACATTAATAACGCACACAGGCAAGCCTTCGTTGAAATGGGCCGAATTTGTTTTTCCGATTGGAAAAGTATATCGGTTGCCACAGAAAAAACTATCACTTAGTAGGCATTTTCAGTATAGGGAACATTATTTTTCGAGCAGTCTGGCTTGCGCACATACGCAATTTAAGTATGGAACCAGGAAAACATTAACAGATTCAGCAAAGCATCAGTATTTATATAGCCACTCTACCGTGCATTCATAAACGTAGAACGGAGCCTAAAAGTGAACAAAAATAGCAAACATGGGCGCAAAAGACATTCATGTTCTTGCGTTTGCAATAGAAAAATATCAGTATCTTTAAGCAACATGAAGGAAACGGCCACGTGTCAAATTCGTTCTTGGTGTCACTGTATAAAAAGGTGAAGTACGCAGACATCCGTCAAAGGAATGCAGTATTAAAGCACTCATTAAAAAGGTGACCTATAGAAGAATGTTTTCTAGTTGATCGAAAGCATAGCCGCTGCTGATTTTTTGTTGCGGACGTATACTTGACAATCAGGGTTCCTGTTTGAGTGAGTCTTCAAATGTGACCCAAACGACCTTTTACATGGAAAAGAGCACAAACACTCGTTACTTCGGTAAACGCCTTCAAGAACTATCTTCTTTTAAAGGTTTTAACAAATGTAAAACAATGAGTCTGTCCTTCTGTGCCATCGATCGAAAATAATAAGAATCATGAAGTATTTAGCGATAGTTCAATATCGATCTGAAACTCAACGCAATTCAGAACCAAAAAATGCGAATCAATTTCGCGGAAGAAAAGTCCTCGTTATATGTACAAAACCGTATGTTTACGATTATGATTCTATTTAAATTTATGGTAATAATCGGGAGATGGCACCCCAAAAATCAGCCTAACCAAAGCAGCCTGTCTTACGGGACAGGTGGTAAAAGAAGTTTCATGGGTGATGGTTGGTGGGGATGTACGATACTAGCTGACAGAAAACCTTATTTGAACAGGTGAACTATCGAAATTGGCCCA